ATTTCCACTTTGGAATCCGGGTCAAAACCTGTTTAAAACTGACACCTGGTAACCGTGAGTCGTAAATAACCAAAATGCCCTGAAAACAGTAACATAAATCCTGAGCCCCTAACTCATGGCTGCACCTGATAACTGTAGGCTGCCTACGTACCCTTACTGAGGGATCAAGCCACACATAGTTCTTTCCTCTGTTCCTGACTTGTAACTGGTTTGTTTTACTGTAAACCTCACTCTAGGGCTGACATTTTTGGAGTATCCGAGACTTCGTTTTACGATCCGTCAAATGCTATACGATCCTAAAATTACCTAGGTCAACATACTAGAACATGATTACAATCCAACGGTTCACGGGGAACCTCTTGCTAGGCGAGATGCGTTCGAGGTTCAAATGTTATCCGAATTAAGATCCGCGAAATCCTACGCGCTCGTGAGGACTAGGAGATTATTTTAGGGCTGACTCTGGTCCTTACCCTGCTGCCCACGCGCCGATAACACTCTGCCAGAGAAACTCTAAACCACGACTCAAGACTCCTACCCTAGGTATAACACCCTATTTGGAGCTACTTTTGTTCTTGGACCTACCCCAAAAACTGGCCGAAAGTGGCCGGAACTGTGCTCTCAAAACTGGCTGAAACCTAACTCGTAAATCGAGCTATCTACGCTTGAAATTTCTGAAATCCTATCCAACCAGCATCTAGGGCTCGAGAAATAGATGAGTTTCCATACCTAGATCACCGGAAATGGTGGCCGGATGACAGAGAATGAGCCGGCGAAAATTTATGAAAAAACTGTCCAACATCGCCTGTTTATTGGCTGTTTCCGGCTACCACGGCGGTGGATCGGGGCAACAAAAGGCTGGGGCTGGAAGAGGGAAATGTGGTGGTTCTAACGAAATTGGTCTTGCTCCCCCTCCTCGAAATGCAGAATTCTGGGTTTAAAACTACTAAACTTCGCAATATTTACGGTTATGCCACTAAATTTCTTTTGATTGTAACTTCTTCGTTACAACTCCGATTTGAGCCCACTACGTGTCTGCGGACCCATCTCACTGCGCTCTACGCAACGGTATAACTGAAATCCCAAAATTCATTCCCGATCAAAAAGTCAACTTTTATACTATTAAAATATTCTTGGAGTATAATTGTCTTTTATTGGAATAAATTAATAATTAAATATTAATTAAGGACCGGGTTGTTACATATTAGGCGTTTTCAAGTTCAATACTTTCATACCATTAGACCTTAGTGAAACTCTTGGGACTTGTTAAAGGGGTTTTGTTGAACCTATAGACCTTTCTAAGGTCGTACACACACAGTTTAAATTTTAGGAATTTGGTTTTTGGTTAAGGGTTTGAGGCAGAGCTTTTTATTAACCAATGCTTGTATTTTCTCAGTAGGTGTTCAAACTCCACGTGCTCAATCATAGGGACCTTCAAAGGGTCAAGCAAGCTTTGGACCCACAATGAGTGGACATTTGTTTTATAAATGATTTTTCCTACTATGATTGTTTTATGAAATGTTTTATGAATAAATTACTTATGGTGGTTATTTTCCAAGCATTTGGTTTTGGTTGAGATAATTTTATATGATTATTATTATTATTAAATGAGATTAGCTCGAAAAGTTGAGAATGATTTTATAATACAAATTTATAAATAAACCCAATCATAGACATGTATTTATAAAAAAACTCAAACACTATTTAAATATAGAAACACACCCAAAATCAACCCCAAAGTCAACAATTGTATATTTTTTAGGTGTGTTTATAAATGGGTTTTCAGTGTGTGTAATGATGGATTTTAGGTGTGTTTATAAGGTGTTTTGGGTGTTGGGTTTTTTTTATAATTTCAGCTCCCATTTTGGGTGTTTTAATGAAACTCCCATTTTAGAAAGGATTTGGGAAATGTTTTCAAAACCACCTTATATATCCTTTTGTTGCTTTCAGATATTATGATGTCCTCGGACATCTCAATTTCCTTTAGGAATTGGAATGTCTTCAGACTATTTGGACATCTCAATTTCCTTCAGGAATTGGAATGTCTTCAGACTATTTGGTTACCTTTGGATAAGTCTGTGCGCGTATGATAATGCGCCATGAGTCTCAAGGAAGCCTGAACCATGTGTTGTGAGGAATGTGTCTGAGGTCGACTATGTGTCCTCTGAGTTCTACTAGGAATGAATCTCGGGCCGACCTCGTGTCCCCCGAGTTCTGCGAAATGTATCACACATGTGGCCACATATGTGGTACTTGGAATTGACGGATTTTCTTTGGGATACATCTAGGTGGAAAGTATTTACAGTTTGAGGAATTTTATGTTGAAATTGATGATTTAAATGGTTTTCCTGTACGATCATAGAACCAAATTGTAATTGGTTTTCAAATGGTTTTTAAAATTAGGCGGGGGGTTAGTATGTTCTGTGTTTTTAACATTTATTTTTGTGCCCCCCAGGCAGTCAACGAGTACCGGACAACCACTTGAGGGCATTCCATCTTCCGCTACTTTTCCTTCTTCTCCCTCATGTAGGCGTTTCCTTCGTTGTGAACATAATTTTCTTGTTGTAAACTTAACCTGAATAGTTATGCTATGATATAGCCCTGAATCTCTGTAAGGCTTGAGGCTAACTGGATTAACTGTTCAATGTGTGAACTTAACTTGTGCATGCTGAACATTTTTCAGGGGAGACTTTGCAGGTTTTCTGGTAGAATTCAAACTCTAAAGTTATTTTGGGATTAGGGCAAAAAAGGTATTTTAGTCATTTGTGCCCGACACCCGCCAAATGTTGGGCACGAACGAGGGTTTGACATGGATGCCAAGGTAGAATTTGGGTCGGGTCCTTTAAGTTAAACTTGAGTTATTTGAGAAACCGTTATGGAGATGATGAATTGAAGAGATCAATTAAGCTTAGTTAATTGGTTAAGGCAAAATTAATTATGGAATTAATTTAAACGACACATGATGTCGGAATAGGCTTTAAATGGGACTTTTGAATTCTAGGCTCATTGGGTTTTATCCTATTGGACATGGAGATTGGGTTGTATGAAAACTTAAATGAAATTGAACACAAGAGGCCCAATTTCAAGTGATTGGCATTTATATGGTACTTTGGTTGCTAGAGTCAACTTGTTGACTCAAGTAAAAGATGACAACCATCTTAGTGAGGGATTACTAGCATCATCCTCTCACTAAGCTCATCATCGTTTTCTCTCTAGTTGGTGAAGAGACTTAGGGCATGTTTACGTATCAGTAATGGGGAAAGTAAGGAATCAGAGAATTTAGGAATCGGAGAACTACTGAATCGGTATGGGAAGAATCATTCCTATTAAGCTGTTTACTAAACATATGGAATTAGCAAATGAATGAGATTGATTCCCATTGTTATTGTTTACTAATTTGTATGAATCAGAATTCAAATTAATTTTAGAATTATGGCAAAGTGGTAAGGGTATTTTTGGAAGTTATTAAGAGAAAACAAGAATGGGAATCGTATCGACTACTCAGTTGATCTGATTTCTGGTTTTGAGGGGATGTCATTTTGGATTTTGAGATGGGACCTACATATTTTTTTATTCCTGATTACAAGTAAACACAGGGGAAATTCAGGAATGGAAATCATTCCCTTTCTTCTCATACCCATTACTGATACGTAAACATGCCCTTAGAGGTTACCTATTTTGGTGACTTTTGGAGAACCTCTCAAGTTGGAGTTTTTCAAGGAGTCATTCAAGCTTCAACAACAGGGTGGAGATTTTGAAGGAGACATTCAAGCTTCAACAACTTTGGTGGAATTCAATCATAGGGTTGAAAGCACACACTAAAGAAAATTCCTCCTTCCAATCTTCTTGGAAGTATGTTCTAGGAAAGTAGTACAACTATCACTTGGCTTAAAAGATTCATGGGAAAAGTTTTTGTTTTTGAACTCATAGATGCATGCTTAAGCTTCTGTTGCCATGATTTTATTTATCTATGTTCATGTTCAAATGAAACTCACGATTTTCTAAAGTTTTCCTTCAAGCCATATGCTAGGAAGGTTGCGTGTTGTCAACGCGTGAGGGATTATCCTTTCTCTATCTTCAGTTTGTAGCAGTCTAAGCCATCCGTAATCTTCTAAGATACTCTGGTGATCCCATAAATACGTAGGAAATTTCCCCATAATTTTCAGATTTTTTGCCATTTGTAAGGATATTTGCAACAACAAAAAAAAGAATAAAATAATCTAGAAATCCCTTTTCACTGACATAATGATTTAAATATCGAATTTAAGGGGGGAAATAAGAGTGTAAGGTTTTTCCCCATATTGATTATATCCCAGTAGAAATTTTCCCCGTATTTTTCAAATTTTTCTTGCAATTTTGACGAATTTTGCAAAAAAGAAATAATAAAGTATTCATGAAATGCCAAGTGTTGGCGCTGGAGTGGGGAGTTGCAAACTTCAGGGACACGCGACACATTCTCATGCCGCCACACGGCACTTGACCCAAATATTTATTCATTTTCACATAAATATTCATTTAAATTTGAATTTAAGGGGGGAAAAATTCGAGAAAAATTCCTCCCAAATCGTGATGAGATTTCCTTTGATGAAATATCCAGAAAAAGGCCGCGGTATACAAATTTGGATATGAGATTAATATGATTGAACAAATAAGAGTGTAAGAGCATCTCCGAGGGAGATGTCAAATTCCAAACATCAAATTCCAAACATCAAATTTAAATTTGATGGCTGATGTGGCAATTTGACATTTACACAGTTTTACACTCCACCCGATATGTCAAATTAAATTATTATTTTATTACATTTCAGTGTTGATTTATAATTTTTATATTTTTAATTAAAGAGAAAAGAAAATACTAAAAGACAATCAATTAATTGAAAAAGAAAAAAAATACTACAAGATAATGAATTCATTGAAATATAATTCACAATCCATCACCTCGAAGAATTTTCATTCTAAGTTGAGTATAATATAGTCTTTCCTCATCACACATTCCAGATGTATCAATAGACATAATTTTCGTCTCGAACTCCATTTGTTTGAGTCGGAGTTTTTTTTTCATCTTGCTCAACTTTCTTCTTAATAAGCTCCATTTTCCTTTCATCTCTTTCCTTTTTTTCTTCATGTAATGTTTGAATTTGCACCAAAATAGGAGTGGGCTCATCGCTAGTGGTTTCTTTCATCTTTCTCTTTTCGGCCTTCTTACCTAGTGGTCTTTTTGTGGGAGCATAAGCATCATTGGTGTTGTCTTGGTCAACATCTATGGGAGTTCTTTCAGTAGAAGATGATGAGAAACTAGTGAAGTCAGATTGGTTTTCACGCTTCTTACTCACTGATTCTTGAGTTTGTAACCACTTTGGTTGGTGCCTCAATAAAATCCAAGCATGATCAAGGTTGAACTTTGCTTTGTATATTGCTTCATATGTAGCCTTCGCATCCGCAATCTAAAGATTAAAAAAACGAAACAAAACTCCACATGAGAATAAATTTAATAATTAAATACACTAATACCATTTAAATTTACCTTATCTTGCTCAGTTTTGCCACTCTGATTTCTCTCATTTATAGTGGCAATACATCCAGAAAATCTATTGACCTCCTTCTGAATTTTTTGCCACCGTTGAGATAGCATTC